CAATACTGAATGACCATGATAAACTGTTTCTTGCTCTAAAAATAAAATGCACTCCTAGTTTTCTCGCCTTTTTTACACCTCTCAATCTCCTTTTACGTGAGATGTCGTACCCTCACACACTCGAACATGGTGTTTCAATGCATGCAAAATTTTCCACACTCAACAAACACTTGTGCAACAGAGCCTTTAAGGCTATGAGTTGAAGTAGAACACAGCTTATTCCGCACTTCACACTTGCAGGTCTGATATAATAAAGACAAGATACCATGAACCTTCCTGCTTCAAAAGTGAATCGTTTTACGTCCTACGATGACATTAATTGGGCACCTGTTTCTCCCCGTGTGCTTTTTACACACTCAGCTGTTTCCATAAATTTGATATACGATAGGCGATGCCAAATATGCAAGGCAAATATGCTGTATCGGTGTACTTGAGTGGGCAGAGTACGCATACTTACCTTGTCAACGTACGTATATTGAAATTTCGCAGCGTATGTGCTCATATGTGTGAGTGATTGGAAGTGGGCATCGTTTGGGTGCGAAAATACAAAACTGAGGTGATTCTGCAAAAGATTGTTTCAAAATATAACCGCATGTTGCGCTCGACACCTGCCTCTCACCAATCCTTACGTTCCCATTTCTAAGCCTTCCTACGTTCTCAGAAATGCGCGAAATATTCGTCTATTCATTTGCAAAACAAAACTTCAAGAACAAAATTCCTAGACAACCAGCAAGAAGCGCATCGCAGTATGGCACCTATTTCTTCTCTGATTACACTGCTTAGAAGGCACTGCATAGCAGCGAAGAGATAGGCCTCGAACTGGAAGTACTGTAGCAGACGACGTGTCCTTTAGCTATCTACCTATTGCCTTTTCTTTTTTCTTGTGCTGTCCAACATGTGTGTGTGACTATCAAGTCACATTGTTCACCTGCACTGTGCCCTTGCTTTTAAATTATTTTTTGTGCGTTATCAGTACCTGCTGCAGCCTTATTGCTTGGTTGTTTTCAAAAGCTTGCATTTTTTTTGTTTTTGTCCCCATGCTTTCACCATTTTTCATCACCGAGCTCGTTGTCTACTTGGTGCGTGTGCGCACGTCACCACCGCACAGGCGAAACTGGGATGGCTTCCTCTGCGCCTCCTGCCGCCCCAGTCACCCCAACCCCCGCAGCGAAGAGGGCAAAGTACAAAGCTAAGGAAGGCGTTGCAAGAGGGAGCATCTCGAAAAGAAGTGATAGAAAAGTTTAATGTGAACAAAAGCATGCCGAGCAGTACTGTGAAGAACGAAGACCAGATTATGCAAGCGTATAATGGCGACATTTGGAGATAAGAGGAAGAGGCTTCAAACGGCAGCGCACCCCAAGCTAGAAGCGCTGTTGCACTGGATTGCCATTTCGGGCAGTGCGCGTCTGCCTTTGAGCGGCCTCTTTATCTGCCCACAAGCAGAGAAGTTCCCGCTGACCATAAAAATCGACTTTTTCAATGCGCTAGAAGGGAGGTTCGACCACTTCAAGAAACGACATGGTATGGTGTTACGTAACATGTGTGGTGAAAGAGGTGCCATTGACGAAAGTGTTGTGCAAGACTGGCAGACTGGACTATCCGTGCGCCTTTCTATGTACGAGCCGTGCAACATTTTTAACGTTGATGAGAAAGCACTGTTTTTTAAGGCTTTGCCTGACAAGACAATTGCGTTTAAGGGGGATGCGTGAGTCGGTGGAAAACTGAGTATAGAGCGCGTGAGGAATCTTCTGGCTGCTAACACGACTGGCACAGAGCGGCTGCCGCTGCTGGTGATAGGGAAGGCTGTGAATCCAAGATGTTCTAAGAATATTAAGCGACTGCCCGCCGACAACGGATTTTATGGATGACTGCCTTGACAACACCTTCCAAAGCTTGGAAGGCGTTGTTAGTGCTGGACAACTGTAGTGCGCACACGAGGCTGTCCGGTCTCAAGAACTTTGAACTGCTATTCCTGCCTCTGAACACAACGGCTTTTCTGCAGCCGATGGACCAAGGAATCTCATACAGTTTGTGAAAAGCCGCTATCGACGACAGGTACTCCAACGGATGTTGCTCTGCTTGGAGACAGGCAAGCACTACAAAGTAAGCCTGCTAAGTGCAATCCACATGCTCACATATGTGTGGAACAACACACCGCCTAAAGTAGTTGCCAACTTCAGCGGGTCAGCGGCTTTGAGCACGACGCTGCTGACACTGGTGTAATGGCTGATGAGGAAAGGGGCAAAGAGCAAGACGGCCACTATGTAAGCATCATGCCAGCTTATGCGTCCTTCGGCGATTACCTCGCAACTGACAGCGATGTTCCCGTGGCCAACACAGTCACCGAAAGCGATATCGTCGCGAAGTGTTAGATGGTGAAGGGAAATCCGCTGACGAAGACCCAAGTGATGCAGACGAAGCATACATGCCACACAATAACGGAGGCTGCACATGCGTTGGCCATTTTAGAGGACATACGCAGGACTTCCTCGGACAGTGTGCGTGGACTAAGCCACCTGCAGGAACTTTGCAAGACTTGCGACTTCTTCGCACTTTGCATTCGTTAAACAAACCGAACTTACAGACTTCTTCAGGAAATAAAAGTTTGATGGTGTAGGAGACATTTTTCAAATCTTTGTTCGTGCTCGCGATAATTCGCATCCTCAGTTAATTCGGACATTCTCTCCGGTCCCGTGATGTCCGAATTAAAGGGGTTTTACTGTATAACGTTTGCCAACCCAAACTGCAGGATACTAAAATGGTTTATCCAAGGTTTAGAAATTTTATCCGACCCACTGTACTGACGTGCACGCTAAAAACAGACAGGACAGCACTGACAACCAGACAATTAGTTACATCCCTTCTCATTCAGACGAGGGGTTAGACCAAAGTTGGTAACCGGACGAGCCCTGGCCCATGTGCTGCTTTACTACGCAGTGCCACAACAGAAGAGACACAGAGGACTATTATTAAGTTAATGTGCACTGTTCCAAAAATTCCAGAAACCTTTTTGCTTAAGAAATATAACTAGTATTTCGTTGTTTTGCTGACTTCCAATTTTTTAAACTAGTTGTATCATGTTAATAGTGCTTGGATGCCCTGTTGTTTATAATTGAATGTGCACTTTTTTTTTATTCCTATCATCTCTGTTTTGCTATAAATTTACAACCATGTAATGCATTCGGTTTCTTTTGTCGTCTGCCAGGCTCTGCCACGCAAGTCACCGAATGGCTTTGGCAGGCCTAGCCACATGTACTACTTTAGAAAATAAAGGCATTATTACTATTATTTACTTTTGTTGTACGAAGGAGTTACAACCATAGATGTGCTGTTGTTTATCAGTTCTTCACTATCCTTGTAATAAACATCAAGTGACAAACCGTAATGAACTTAGTCCCCTCCTCCTTGGTGCTTGTGAACTGAAGCTGTTACAGCCGTCCAGCTACTCCAAAGAGAGAGCTCAGGCAGGCTTGCATTGCAAATTTAATTCAGCACAAAAGCCGGGAGACCAGCACAAGAATGACGACGACAGTGCAGTAAACAGTGTTCCTCCCACTCATCTCCTATCCTTAGAAGTGTTTAAATGGTCAAGCATACATAGGCTTTTCTGATTTTTAAACCTTTAAATCTACTTATCTATATACTGTTTCACATTCGATATGCAAGATGTGAAACTGCAATGCATATTTGAAAATTATATACTATATTTTTGCAGAGTTCAGCTTGGGAATTCATTTGACATCTGTCATTATAGGTACCCTGCAATACTTTGCGAACATGATGAGAGAACACTATTAATCTGTAGTCAGAGCTTATGTGAACATGTAATCCAATTGTTACAGCAATGCACATGGCAAAGAATTTTCAGTTATATTTCAGACACCTTAGCTGCAGATCACACACTCGACTCTAGGTAAATTCCATGATACATTGGCCGGACCTTGTCATGAATGAAGAGGCACTGCCATTGGCAGACTTGAGCATTAGTGTGGTGCACAATTACATACTCACGCCACGCTCTATGGTTTTAGAATTACACTAGAATTCAGCCTGTGACCACGCTGAAAGTAAGCTAACACACTCAAAGAGAAAAAGAAAGGAGAGTGCTCAGGGTGACGATGCATGCTGATAAAGCTTCTCACCCATTTGTTGTCATTACCTGTGTAGCCTTTAGGGTGCTTTAAGTATGAAAGGAGAGAGAAAGCAGTAAATGAATGCAAGAAATCGCTGTAAAACTCACTTTTTACATGTTCGAAACATTTCCGGCAATCAATTTGAAGCAATAAATCATGTTTACTTGTGAAGCAGCACAGGTAGACAAGGCACAAAAGGAACGAATAAGACACCTTTTGTGCCTTGTCTACATGTGCTGCTTCACATGTAATCAAGAACTATCACCAACTCGACCAACTTTCAACGTTACTAAAGCGATAAACTTCGGTGGCAAAGTAGTTGGCAAGCTATTGCAGGGTCTCCTTAAGTTAGATAAATGCTCGTCAATCATGTCAAGTGAAAAGAGTTGGTAACGATCACTTGAATTGTGTTTTAATACCATGTTCGGGCCCAGGACCGCTGGCCAAGAAACTCAATCGAACCTTAGTGCACACACACATACGTACACACACAAATATATTTACAGGCAAAAGTTTAAATGTTATAAACTGTTAATAAATTAGTCTGTCACGTGCAGTGCTATGCTAAATCCACGCATAAATTGAAAGTATCTTGTCGTGTTTAGTTTGTGGCTTGTTCGACGTCCGACCACTTGAAACGGCTTGCCTCTGACTTGCTGATGTCCTCAGCGTTGGCCTACACCATGACACGGCTGTCTTACATACCTACAGCAGTATGGTAGTGGTAACTCAGCAACCACCATGTTAATCCCAACAGCACACCAGAGTAGAGTCAGCCACCTGAAATTGCAGCAAATAGCCCTACAACAAACCGGGATTCACAGCCACTCTGGAAGGCGGCGAGAACCGTGGCATCTAGCCTGATACCTGGGCCAGTCACCCAGACGGTACCGCAGGCCTCATCCTTCGGTTGCCAAGCCGTCAGGAATGGCAGCTGGAAAAACTTCGCACCATCTGGTCCCTGGGCCAGACACCTAGCTGGATTGCAGGAACAGAACAGCTCCCTGAGGACATCAACGAGATCTGCGGACCAGACGTCCAGTACGTGATGGAAGTTACTTTTTACTTTTTGGAGCACACTTTGGAGCAGCCATAAGAGTTTTTAGAGCATGAAAAATGCTAGTTTAGAGCAGCTACTAGTGTTTTAGGAGCAGATATTAAATTCGCCATGCATTAACTAGAGTTCGAAGCATTGTTGAAGCATCTCGTAAGTATTTTTTATAATAAAATGTATTTACCAGACAACAATCAAAGCAAATTTTCATGAAGCAAACAATGGCAGGTTGTCGTAAATGTGCTGTGAAATAAGCTACAATTTGAAATACTAATACTTGGGGCAGAAATCAAATTAAACTGGAAAAGCTAAGTGCCACAGTTTAAAAGTAACCACAGTCCATTATAAGTGTTGCCAAATGAGCAGAAGATAACAGGTATAAGATAAAAGCAATCAGGTTCATTTTCACAGTTCACTACACTAGCCTGCATGTCCAACCGAGGAAAAAAAAAAATGGCCATATGGCCTATATGGTCAACATGACAGTTCTGTTGCACAAATGGGATCAGAGCCGACAACTCTGCACACTGATAGCACAGTGGGATGAAAGTACACCGATTATTTCATGTTTTTAAGGACTTCTGAGTTGATGAAAGAGTAAACGTTTGTCACTCTCATTTTCTCAGTGTAACTTCAGAGCAGCTTTGGAGCAATAACTACCAAAAACTACTGTGTGGAGCAGCATAAAGCAACATTTCTCTTTTTGGAGCAGTTTGAAGCAATTGGAGCAGCACTTCCATCACTGGTCCAGCCGAGAGCTCTCTCGAATTCAGTCTTGCCTCGAACGTCGGCACGCACTTTTTTGCAGTCAGTGCATGCACTCTTCTTTTTTTGTCATCACCATTCATCGAGCAGTTTCGGTTCCATTCTTTGTCTTGATATCACAGCATGAAAGGCAGATGGACAGGGCACATTTCCCTTTTTTTATGTAAGGAAACATGAGAGCGCATGCGTGCCCCTCTGCTGCAGCTGCCTACAGCACCACAAACCCACAGCGAGAGAAAACGCAAACGCTTTTGGCGACACCACTCATTGCGAGACCAAAGAGCAACCATAATCTGCCAGCGGCTATCCAAGAACCATTATTTTGTTTTCCAGTAGATGAAACGAAAATCGGATGCGATTTCTTCGGCTGACAGGTTTATGGTGCTATACACAGCTGCCACAAAGCGCAGGGGCGTACGCTCGGTTGTTCCCTTTAATGAACATGGAGAGTGCACATCCTGAGAAAAATCGCTTTTCCCAGGGTGGCAAAGACAAATGTGGTCCCCCATTTTCTTGATGTTCAGTGCATTATACACAAAAGGGTGTCAACAGCTGAAATGCTAACCCGCTATCTAGCAATATACGAGTTTTTATCTAGCTTTAAGAAAAATTGAGGGATGACGTACGCATGCACGGCAACTGACTTTCATATGCAAAGCATTTCGTAGCGAACTTCGATGACTTTGAGCGTATCTATTTATTTATCTATCTATCTATCTAGCCACTTACATTTGGGTGCTCTCGTGCTCGCCCTCTTAACTTGGCGTGAACCAAAATTAGCATGGGAGGGTAAGATGGTTTGACGAATATGACGCGCTGGTCAAGACATGAATAATGTCAAAATCCTGTTGCATACATCGTCAAACACTTCCCTCCAGACAGTGGCACATACCCATGGTTGGGTGCGTGCCGCTGGTACATGCAACAAGTGATTGACACTTAGCGTCTACCCAGGAACGATGAGAACACACATGGGCCATTTTACGTGTGAGCATTAAGAGATACCCGCCATCGGTAGCGTCAACCCGACGAATGCGAAGAATAAATGCCAGGTTCCAGGCTGGAATCAAACCCAAGTATTCTGCGTGGCAATGAAGCATTTTACCACAGAGCTACGCCAGGTCTCGGAACAACTTTTCAAGTAGGCCCTACTCTTCATGAAGTTTCAATAGTGGTTGCAGTGCTGTCTACCCCAATTTTATAAACATTACACAAGTACTCCTTTGATACAGCCGTCACTTCGGGTTAACGTCAATTGTGGTTAGTTGCCATGCGTTGAAGTTGATTTATGTAGCAGTGTCCAGGGCCGGCATCTTCGCGTGCATCAGCGCTCCCATCAGCTTATGGTGTTGCTAATACGCATGTTTCAGTTGGCATTGTTGTGCAAGTGCAAACAACTGGTTATATAAACATCTGCAATATTCAACATATGTCTGTGTGTGCAACATTTGTACATATATTTAGCGTAATTTCATGACGTGCCACTTAATAAAAAAATTGCAACACGGTCACCTTCCCTCGGCATGCTTCGCATAACGCCGATTCCCAGGTACGTTGGATCTGCCAAATATTTTTTTGAAGGCATTAAAGACCTCACAATCAATTTTATTTCTTTGTTTAAATATAGTAAAGGGAGAAAGGCACCTGGGGAGCCTAGCATCATTGAAAGGCTGCAGTATTGAACCGAAACGAAATTGAAAAAAAATTTTTTTTAATGGCCCCGTATCTGCATATAATCTGCAAATGTCGTCGAAAGACAATAGTCTTGCGTGTGGAGAGAGTGAACAAAAGATTTATTTGATGTTCTGCTCAGGAAAATCGGTGAATGGTATTCTGGAGGCGCTGCGTTAGAGTGCCTCGAGCGTGCAGCGGAGGCGAACGAGCGCATCAAGTCACGTCACACGTGAGACATGACCGCCATCTGGCAGTTTTTTTCAAAAACAAAGCGCGTGGCTCTGAGACGGGTATGCGCGCCCACCTCAGAGGTGATAAGGTGTAGAATGCAAGGCGACGGGTAGGTGACACCACCGTCTCGTTTTAGCAAAGTGTTGGAAACACTCACCTTTCTGTACAAGCGTTAGATGGTCAGCGCAGCGTGATAAGTGCTACGGTCCTTAAAATTACTTATGTATTACTTTTCTAGTAAAAGGCTCACATTCAGAATATATACGTGTTGTTATGGTGCCCCAGACATATGCAATAATTGCTTTTTAATTGACAATTGCACAAGTACGAATGCTGAATCTTGAGCAACATAAGTGGGCACTGCAGATGGGGTTGGCCGTTTCAAATACCCGATGCTGTTACGAGTGGACAAACATACAGACAGACAGGCAGACAGACAGACCAAAATTTTTGCGTCGAAGTTACCCAAGAAAGACTATCGTCTTTAAAAACCATATGGTATGTCAGGAGTTCACAAAAGTGAACGGCAGTAGGAGAGTGGAAATACACGATTTCTCTAAGTGTGAAAAATGTTGCCACATTCTCAGCGCCAAGCAAGTCGTCTCGATTTCGCCCAAGCATTGAAATACAGAACTTCAAGAAGCGTTTGTACTACTCGACACGCCGCAACAGATACACCGAATTAATCACCAACGTCATATCGCGCATTGCTTTCTTTTGGTAGAGTGTGCACAGGACAAAAGGGGCGCACTGGAAGTACATGAAATGTCTGTCAAATCAGGGGGAGGAGCTTGCCAGCTCATTGTAGAGTCTCTGGTTGCTTACGTGCACGCCTGCTTTTAACCCAGCCACGAGATGCGAGGGTGGACTAAGTGGTATATTTCGAAGATGTAATTAAAAGTACAAGGTGCATGGGTGATTTGGTGGTTATTATTGGATTTTCCCATGCGTACTGCTTTCATCTGTACTGCATCATGCATGGGGAATGAGTGTCTTGGTTTCCCATTCGAGACATGTTGCATCGTTTATGTCGTCGAGAACTAAACAACCCGTCTGTGGCCCCACACAGATCCCCTCATGACATGGATGCCATACTTACTTTGGAATGAAAGGAAAAAAATGAAAGAAATGGGAAAAAAAAAAGGATAACATTTTTCCACAAAATGAAACAATATCTATACTTTAGCAATGACTGTCTGTAACTATCCGAGCCTCATAATAAAACAGTATTCATTTCAGCAAGGCATCACGACAAAATTGAGTTACCTTAATTACTATTTTTCGACACAGTAGCAGGCATGAGCTTGGCTCTGTAACTTCCACAGTACTGCCGAGAAAAGTTGTCGCTTGGTGTAAAGGTTATAATGCTCAACTCCATACCTACGAGTTGTGAAATTGAACCTCAGCCGCGGGCCACATTTCAATGCAGGTGACATGCTAGAGGACCAGGTATTTGGAATCAGGTGCACATTAAAGAAATTCGGGTGGTCAAAATCCTCCACTATGATGCCTCTTCTAATCCTATTATTGTTTTGGGTTGTTTTACAACCCAAAACAATAATAGATTTTTTTCTGGGTGAAGGGGCCAGTCAAGCTGTGAAATGCAGCTTTTTTCCCTTCACACCAAACCACATATACAGTGTATTTTCATGTACTTTGTCATGTGGTTAAATAAACTCAAACTCAAAACCGCAATTACTAAAATTACTGGGTTAAAATAACCTGCATCGATGGCAATGGCCTGGCAGGTATGAAACAACACATCTGTGGAGGTGAAAGGATGTTTTCATAGAAATATGATTATTTACCCTCAATCAGCAGAGGGGGCACATCCAAACTGCAGTCATTCTTGGTAGTAACGATATTATATGAGAAATCAAAGAGCTGGTGCACAGAGGGCCTTGCTAAATGTCTATCGTTCATGAAAAATCCTTTCTCATGAGAGCTGTTGTAAGGGTGACACATAAAATGCTAATGCCAGTGCTTTGAAAGCCATCACGTTTTTAACACGCATATAGCTTTGGCACACCTGCCAAATTATGCTTCAATCTTCAACAAGGCCGCAAGAGAGGCTTACTACCATTTCATGGCTTGGATATTGGTAAAAACACTAGGATAAGACGGAGGTCAAAAGAAGAGTTCGGGATCACAAACACACAGAAACGTAGTCTTTACTCCAGAAATCAATCAAACGTGAGAAGCAATGTGAATGCAAGACGAGGAGCACAACACGTCAGGGACTTGAGAAGAGACGGACAACAAAGGCGCACACTAACAACTGGAAGTTTATCGAAGAGGCAACACATATATAGCTTACCAAAATTTTCACATGGTACAACTTCTCTCACCTAAAAGAACAGAAAAACTGTCACCGTTCCACACAAACATCATCAACATGCGCCTAAACAAAAATATCTTGGACATAGAAAGATGAAAATCGCGGGGGCGGAAGGGAGCGCCCAGATGAAGAGAACCAAAAGATTAGTATAAGTGCTTCTCTGACATGACAATAGACGTGTGACTGACACATATTTCTCCTCATCTCTTGATGTGGAAAGCTTCGATTTTTATCTCCATACCTATAAATAGGACAGTCGCGACAACAACAACAAAAAAAAAGGGGGGGGGGGGGGGGTGAGCAGCCGCACATGGTGCAATGCTGGGCCGAGTGGGCACCTTCCCATGAGGCCACAATTCCGTTATGCACTTGTAAACAAATATTTCAACAATTGCCGGTCTGGCCTGCGAATACACGGCCGCATGACAGTGGTTTCAGATACACGACGCCTGTTACGCAGTAGACGAAAGTTAAGCTGTGTATGACCCGACACCTGTTAGTTTCTAGAAACTTCGCTTTGGCTTCTAATTTTCCACGTGTATTATTCAAGTCCCTATTCCCACTTCTTGCATTCACAATGAACCGTTGTAAACTAGCCCAAATGGCTGTTTTGCAACGTGAGAAGCAAGTGCAGGTTGTAACGCTGAGGGTACGGTCACGAGTGTTGTGCGGGTGCCTCCCCGACTATGTTGACCGAGCGCATTCTTAGCGCTGTGACCAGCATCAAAATAATATTTCACTATTTTCAACTGAGCTTCATACGCCAGTCTTACAAGAATGCATTCACTACATACTGCCCTGCATATCAGTGACATACCGCCCTTTCAAGATTGTTTGTCCTTGTGAAATATCGGCGCCCGCAATAGGAAATTATCGAGCACCGGAATCTAGCGCTGCGCACACCCTTTCTGCCAACAATAAATAAGTAGAATGCATCAGTTTGTGCTGAATCGTGAACAAGAAAACAAGTGGCCAATATTTCACCTACGAATCTTGGTCACTTGGCGATCAATGCAGTACACAAGTCGCTCACGGGCTGTTTGGCGTTCGGTGCAGCTACTACGACAGCACTTCTCCCAGACTCCTTCAATCACACCTTCGCACATCAAAACACACTGCCACTTGAACGGCACCAAACACAATTTCTCAAACAGGTACAAAAGTGACACGTCCAGGCGCCCGCCCACCACATGGACCAAAAACACGTGACCAAAAACAACGCCTCCTCTAGAAAGATGCCTGAGGAATGGCTCGCGCTCCCAGCGGAGTTGGCCTGCCTTACGTTTTAAACAAGCTTCACGCGGTGGCGCTCGCGACCGACACCGTCTAAGGTGTCGCCTTCGAGAGGCGCCTTCGTCGAGGTCGAACGTGTTTTCGGAGAGCTCCGGAATGACAGCTACATATAAGTGTTTTTGCATGTTTCCAGCTTGCCTCTGTATGTAGCGTTATGAGAACGTAAGGCGCTAGCGTAAAGCTTGATTAGGTCTAGTACGGTATACGTTTTTTTTTTTAGTATTCTGTACTGTGTCCTTTTTTTTTCTCCAGCCACCACGTGGCTGAGGCCTGCGCGTAGACCGACCACGTGCATGCGCAGGTGCTGTGAAGTGTAGCGTATTTATTTATTATTGTGGTTCTTTTTGGCTTAGACCAGTGTATTTTAGTACAGTTTTCTAACACGTGGGCATCGGTAAACTGAGCTAGCCATGGTCAAAAAGACCGTAAAGTGTTCAGAGTGCGGGATAGGGTGGAAGGTGGAAATTAGTGCGGAAGAGAAAGCAGAAGATGACGCCAAGTGTAGACAGTGCGAGTTCGAGAAGAAAATGAAAAATATGATGGCGGTCCAGAGTGGGCTCATGGAGAAAATCGCAGAGCTGGAGAATGCATTGGCGAAGGAGCGAGAGAAAACGTCAGCCATGGAGGAAAGGCTCCGGGCAGCCGAGAAGGGCCTATCGAAGGTCGTGAAGGGGAACGAAGACGCAGGTGACGGCGGAAGCATTATGGCGACGACCCCCCGTGCGGGAGAGATGAGGGAAACAGGCATGACAAAGGCAGATACATTGGCCACAGGGCCCAGCTACCGGGAAGTAGTTTTGAGGGAGGGAGGGAGCAAACCAGCAGCCGTGACTCACGCTAGTCACCTAGTCAGCAGCCAGGTGCAGGTTTCAGAAGGAATGTCTGAACAGGTCATCATCGCCGGTGACTCAAATTTAGTCCGATGCGCAGCGGCAATCAAAGAAAGGGTGAAAGGCGACAAGAGAGTTGCGATAGGGACGTTCCCAGGACAAACGCTGGGGACAGTAATGAGTCAAGCGGGTGAACAACTCGCAGCTAAAGCTAACAATCGTAACCTCGTTGTAATTGCGGGAGGGTTAAATGACGTCCTGAAAAAAGAATCGTCAGGACTAGCGACGACCTTGGCGAAAGGGGTGGATGACATGCGCACCGTGTCCCCCCAGGTGCAAATTGTAGTATGCACAGTACCGGAAGTACCAGTACGCAACGTCAACCTGCAAAGAGCGGTAGTCGACGCAAACAAAGAGATATGGCGAATTAGTCGAGAGAAGGGTTTCGAGGTAGTGGATTTAAACAGGGAAGTGCACAGGTGGGGTGGATTCCAAAGAGACAAGATTCATTTCGATAAGAGGCTTGGACACGAGGTGGGCTGGCGACTGGCAGGACGCGCAGTAGCTTTTTTGGGGGGCTCACGGGCCCTTCGGAGTCCGGGGTAGCTCGTAACAGGGAAAACAACCAGGAAGACGCTTTGACAGGTAGAATTGCGAAAAACCAGAAAAAAGGTAAAGGAAAAAGGCGCGTGTTGCAATTAGTTACATAAACATGCAGGGTGGCAGAAAGAAGGCAAAATGGTTAGAGATTGAGGAGCAGTTAAACAAAGAACAGATAGGCGTGTATGCGGTTACAGAAACACACCTTAGAGACTTGGAAGAGCCACCACATATTAAAAATTATGTTTGGGAAGGATGTAACAGGACCATATCGGAAAGGAAAGGTGGGGGTGTAGGAATGCTAATTCACCGCGGAGCCAAATGGGTTAGAGTGAAACAGACGTGTTCAGAGCACCTCTGGGTTCTGGGCACAGTAGGTGGAAAGGAAACGTGGCTAGGGGTAGCCTACTTGTGGACGGGGAATAACTGCAGAGAAAAGAATCAGGAGATAGTGGATTGCATGAGTGCGGATATTAAGGAATTTGGTAATGGGGCCGAAATCATCCTTCTAGGGGACATGAATGCCCACATACATGACCTTGACGGATATTCAGACACCAATGGGAAGTTATTACTAGATCTTTGCGAGCAACATAGTCTGGAGATAGTTAACACGGGGCCTAAATGTGACGGCCAGATCACATGGGAAGTCGGAAACAAGCAATCAAGTATTGATTATTGTCTCATGACTGAAGGAATTTACCACAAACTGACAGAAATGAGGATAGACGAGGAAGGCATTAACAGCTTGGGTAGTGATCATAAACGAATAACATTACAAATGGGATACGAAACTAAAATATGAGCATGGAATCAAAGTCTGGCAGCTCGTATTTAAATGACAAACAAATAATAAATATAGCCGCAAGAGTCGAGGAAGAAGTAGGCGAAATACCAGGCAAGGACTGGGAGTATAGGGAGCTGTTACATCTAATGACGAAGGAGATAGGGAAAGAGAAGAAAACCGTTTGCTGGAAAGGAAAAAGGAAGCCAAAAAGTTGGTGGAACAAGGAAATCCGGGAGGCGATCGAGAAGCGACGCGAAGCATCACGGGAGCATAGAAAGGCAAAAAAGGAGAAGCGGCCGCAGGACGAAGTCAAAAAAAATATGGGAAATATATTTGGAGAAAAAATCCCTTGTACAGAAATTGGTAGAGGCAAAAATTAAAGGTGAAAGTGAACGCTGGATGACAGAGATACACGAAAAAAAGGAGGCCGCGCCTAGGATTTTTTGGAGCCACATAAAGGCGCTAGGTAGGAAGTCTGTCACAACGCAACAACATATTCTAGATGAAGGAGGAAATCAATTGGAAGGGTACGAAGCGCTAGGTTACATCCAAAAGGTAACAGCCGATTCGTTTCAAAAGAGCGACCAGGGGATCTCCCCGGTGAGTAAAAGTGTGGCGGAGAAAGCAACAGAGGAAGAGCTAGTACTAGATAATTTCAACTGGAAAAAGGCCGAAGGAAAAATTCCAAAGCGCACTGCCGCGGGTTTAGATGGGATTCCCGTTAGCCTCATTAACGAACTAGGACATAACACTAAAGAAGCATTGTTAAAAGCAGTAGAAAAAAGCTTAAAGGACGGACAAATACCGGACAGTTGGCGACAAAGTAGAATGAACTTAATCTATAAAGGCAAGGGAGAAAAGGACAAGATTCGCTCGTATAGACCACTAACCATTACATCGGTACTATACAGGTTGGCGATGCAAGCAGTAAAAATGAAAATAGAAACATGGGCCGAACATAACGATATTTTGGGAGAACTTCAGAACGGATTTCGAGTCGACAGGCGGTTAGACGATAACCTGTTTGTTCTCACTCAGTGTATAGAAATTAGGCCCTTGTACGTGGCTTTTCTAGACATCACTGGGGCATACGACAACGTTAATCAGGAAATTTTGTGGGATATATTGAAAGGAATGGGCATGGGCGACGACTGTATACAGCTTTTGAAGGAGATATACCGAGAAAATACAGTTTGCATAGAGTGGGAAGGAATGCGTAGCAAAGAGAACGTTGAGATTAGCAGGGGTCTGAGACAGGGATGTCCTTTGTCCCCACTGTTATTCATGCTGTACATGGTGAGTATGGAAAAAGCGCTAGAAGGTAGCAACATTGGTTTTAATCTGTCACACAAACAGGGCGGCATGATGATTGAGCAGATGCTTCCAGGTTATTTTATGCGGACGATATCGTCTTATTTGCGGACAGTCGAGATGATATACAGCAGCTGGCGAATATATGCGGAAGGGAAGGTGAAGCTCTTGGACTAGGATTCAGTGTAACGAAGTGTGGTTTGATGGTATCAATGATCCCTGTGATCAGACGGTGTCAATACAAGGCCAAGAAATACCGAGGGTAAGTGAATACAAGTACCTTGGAGTATGGGTAAATGAGAGTGATAGATACATGGAGGTACAGGAAAAAGCCTCGGCAGCAAAAGGAAAGAGGAATGCGGCAATAATGAAGCACAGAGCGTTGTGGGGATACAATAGGTATGAGGTGCTTCGAGGTCTGTGGAAGGGTGTAATGGTTCCAGGGCTTACTTTTGGGAACTCAGTGGTGTGCATGAGGGCAGAGGTGCAATCGGGAATGGATGTAAATCAAAGGACTGTGGGACGCCTCGCGTTGGGTGCTCACGGGAAGACGACAAACGAGGCTGTAAAGGGCGATATGGGGTGGGCAGGTTTTGAGGCGAGGGAAGCGCAGAGCAAAATAAGGTTCGAAGAAAGGCTAAGAAATATGAAGGAGAGTAGATGGGCAGAGAAGGTGTTCCGTTATTTGTATAGGAAGAGCGTGGACACACAGTGGAGAAAAAGAACTAGAAGACTCACTAGTAAATATACGGCTGGTATTGTGAGCCATATGTCAACAAAGAGCGTTAAGGGAAAAGTCAGGGAGGCGGAGAGGATTTACTGGATGGCAGCTATGGAGAAAAAACCGGCTTTGAGTAACTACCGAAAGGGCAAAATGAAATAAGGAGGGAGGCATTTTACGATAATTCAAGGGGAAGCGCTTTACTGTTTGAAGCGAGATCGGGTTGCCTTAGAACGCGTAGTTATAAAGCAAGATTCAGTAAAGAAGAAGAACAATGCACATGCTGCGGGAAAGATAAGGAAACGGCGGAGCATGTTCTGATTGAATGTGGAGATATCCACCCAGGTGTACGTTTGGGCACGAGCCTACAGGAAGCCTTGGGTTTTAGGGACAACAATGGAAAGCTGAACACACCCGCGATTGAAATAAGTAAGAGACGGTTAGAGTATTGGTGGCAGAAAATTAGAGAGAAAGGACAAAAATAAATATTGGAAAAATAAAATATGGACAGTGTGCCGTAATGGTGCATTCAGACGACGGACCGAATCCGGATTTGACGTGGACGCGGACAGCTAATCCGCGGATGGTCCGCCTGCAGGCGCATCCACACGACGGACGGTGTCCTAGGGGATAACAGCCGGATTACCCTCGACA